ACCGTGTTTTTCATTTTTTTCTCACTGTTAGATAGCTGCTGAGATTCTAAATCTGATGCCAGAGAAAAAAAAGCGAAAAAATCATGACGAAACGATAGGACTTCCCCTCCCCAGACATCTCCCTGTTCTGGCTAAGTGATCGTTCTTCGCGTCATCCAATGCTATCTAACAGTGAGAAAAAAATGAAAAACACGGTGTAAAAACCAAACTTGCTGCAGAAATTAGCTGTCAAGTTTCGGTGGGCGGTACATCTAGGGAGACCTCAGAAGTATCACTTGTGCGAGCCACAGCGCCTCCGTTACTTATGTCAACCCGCGAGAGCAGGACATTCTTAGAGAGTGGGGTCCAGACTACTTAAAAAGTAAGGACGCCTGCGAATTGGTTGTTCGATGGCACTGTCTTCAAGGGCACTACTAGGACGCAACATAGTGGAATCTAAATCATAAAACAGAAATGTACTAACCGTTAGACGGTTTCTTCTGTTGGAATGGAGAGTAGATAAATAGCTGTGGTTGGCCAGCTTTAGCTTCTATAACGGTTGGTGCCAGATGAGGTGGAAGAGGACAAAGAATTGGATCACTAAATGAAAACTTTTATTGCACGGTCCTACCCTTCGAATTCACGGCACAAGAGTTTATACTAACTTGACCATTGGGAATCTTGTCAGCTGGATTGAAGGAAGGATGATGTTCCCGACTGGCACCGATATACGTTGATTCAATTGCGGTGGACTGCCCTTGATGCGGACTAGGTTCTGTAGGTCATCGAATAAACGATTTGCCAATAGCGGTTCCATGTCGTCATAGTATACCTGAAGATGTTTTTCATTCAAAAACTCAGGAATGGTAGCTGATTGCACAGAATATGAAGTAGTGCGAACCTGAATCAAATGACAAAGGTGCCGAATAGCTGCGTCTGTCAGCTCGGCCCTCGATGCAGCCGTATACACCTCATGTAGGGCCTTTATTTGTAGCTGAATGGGACCTTTCAGAACCCCGTCCTGAGCAACTTCACGTACATTCTCCTTTATTCCATAACCAGGAAGAGTTCTAAAAAAATACTGAGGCAGACACGCTTTATGCTATCCGACTGACAACATACTCATTTTAATAGCGAGTAGCCTGACATACAGTCATTAATTTTGGGATTTCACTAATATCAAGACCACTTCACTGTGGAAATTTGCGACAGATCTTCAGCAGTTGTGAACAACATCAGTTGGATGTTCAGAAATGTCATAAAGTAACAAAAATGAACACAATTCATTGTCAATATGTATGAAAATGGGTTAGGGGTTCAGAGAAGCTATATTACTTTACTGTACTGCATGCAAGTACAGATTCATAACTAGCGTGCGCCCTAATTCGGGGCATCGAAATGGTTTGGAATGAAGTGAAGGTGCTATCTCTAAAAGTCCCTATATGTAACAATTTTTCGTGCATGTAACCCCGATTCATTCCCCAAGTTTTCTTATCTTCATCTTCATTAGCTGCGTTCATACTTTGCGGCAGCGTCCACCAGCATCCACCAGTGACCACCAACTCTTTGAGGGACTAGGGAATATGGATATCGATCTGGCGTCTGCCAGTGCACAACTAGCGACCAGGAATAGAGAGCATGGGGAAGTAGGAGGGTAACAGACCGCTTCTAAAGTATAGGGAGGTAGGAAACAATTGGATTAAACGTCGCGGAATTGTGGTGGCAACGCATCGTTACTGAAACAATGACGCGCGTAGCTCTGGTGCTGAAAGAACGTTGGCAATGCGGCATCGCATTATCATGGAGGTTTGCTAGTCGCCAACGCTTGACGGACCTAGAAACGCTAACGATGCAAGAGGACGCTGCCGCAAAGTAAGAGCGCAGTTTTATCTTCATTTTGGAGGGCTTCATGAGGGCTTACGTTAGCATTCACCTTTGTTAGAGGTTGGGCATAAAAACTATGAGGTCGGCCCAATCAAACTCAACAAAAAATTCAAAGACAATTCTACTCAGAGTAAGGTACCCAGCGGTATCGATCAATAGACTTGTGCCTAGTTTAGCAGAATTGTTTTGAAAATTGTTGAGGCGTTCGAGCGGGTGCTCCTAACGTTCTGATCCCTTTCAGACTGACAAAGCCGACGACGTCGAAATCAGGCCGGATTATTCATACTTCGAAGAGACTAACGAAGGAGAGTAGGAGAATTTATTTAGAAAGGTTTTTATGCTAGGAATCTTATTTCGCAGCTCAGCTCTAGCAGCTTTGGCCGACCTCACTTCGTAAATACTGCAGAAACAACCTGTACAATATCGGGTACACAGCTCTGTAGTCTTGCGGAGTTCGTTGTTCACCATCGGCAATTTGTAGACGGAACAGAACGCCAAGGCGGGAGAAAAAGGAGCATTTTCGTCGAAACCCCACCTAGACGAAGACATGAAAGGACTAGAAAAAGGATGAAGAAAGCAAAAGCCAAGATTGCCTTATCTCACCTCCCTATACAGAGCAGCAGAGTTGCTGCATATAGCCGCTTTTGTGTGATTATCAAACCTTGTGAAACTGTCATCCAAGTACTTGCAGATGTGATCGCGATGGAACGTCTAAAATGAATCGCACTAAAGAAGCCACAAATATTATATTCTAAGAATCCGAGTAAACAGCCCCCATATGAAATGGCTCAGGTTACTCACTTCCCCAACAGAAAATTTTGTTGGGAATAACTCCCCAAGAAAAACTACCTCAGTCCACAGAAAAAGGTGAGATAAATAATAAATAGTGATAAGGGTAAGGAGGACAAAGTCTTCGCCGTTTGTGGGATGGGGCACGCATTCTACTTCCATTCAGAATCGTAGTGGCTTATTGAATGCGATGTGGCCTATACAATGACTTGCGGGGCCAGCCGATGTACAAGTCAGTGTTTTATCCTCCCAGACGAATCTGGTACCAATTCACCGTCCCCGGAGGGTAGAAGGCTTGGTTGGCCTGGGCGGGAGTCGACCCGGGATTTGAACCCGGCGCCGCGCGAGTGGTAAGCGCGCCACTTGTCACTACAACACCTCCACCTCAACAAATAGTGATAAACCCTCGAAATTATGGAAGTGTATGAAAAGTTTCATGTCTGCGAAGCTCATCCAGGGATCTCGAACTGGTAAACAAAAGGAATGATTACATTCAAACGCACTTCCATTTCGACGTACATCCGCTGATATCGATAGAGAGATACGGCTTTCATCATACAATCATACTCGATCATTGCAGCAAACGAAAACTTCGAATAGTTTTCCAGTGCTTGTTCGAACTTGTCGAGTATGACAGCGGGTTCTATTTTATCCTTCGATCTGAAAGTTTGCGTTGCATTTAATAGCTACTGTATTGTTTTTTGATTAGCAAAGGGAAAGTTGGCCGTATTGGCGCACCATTTTAGCGGGGTGGTTGTACCAACGAGCACCCCGCTAAAATGTGTTTTAAACTCCAGTTTTTCTCAACGAGATCCTTGACTCAAGGATCTCGTTGAGAAAAACTGTCGAAGAACCGCACTTTTGAGATCCAATTTCGCTCGGTTAATTTAGAGGTTTGAAGGCAGGGATGCGTCAGAGGTAGATGGGGTCGTTGATTCAGAAAGAGAACAGGTGACAGCAAGCTACTGTTAGAAGGGGTATGGACAGGAGTTCTTATGATAAATAGTAAATAGTAAACTGTTGCTTTGTATTTTGAAAAATAAAGAAGAGTATCCATCGCCACTGTGAATTTACTTTGCAGCTTTTTCGCCGAGCGGCCCATGCCGACGATCGCTTCCTGTCGACGGTTCCTCAGGTTCAGGGGAATGAGGCCCATAATTATTACTGTTTTCGGCGTGAAGAAATTTGACCACGCGTAGCTCGCCAGGCTCTGACGTGGCACCCTCCGCATTGGTACGGTGTTTGGAAACAGTCCAAACATTTCACCCACGCCATCGTTTGAGGTGCGGATAGGATTTGTGGCCATGCGTTCAGCGACGACGCTGGGACCAGAGCGTGATTCAATTACGACTGGATTCCACGGGATGTCAAGCGAACGCCTGGACGACCGCCTATGCGATGGTCAGACTTCTTCGTGAAAGCTCTGAACGAATGGTATGAAGTTCATCGTGTCCCTCGAGCAGAGAGTCCATTGGGCAACTCTTGCACGTTGCAGGGACGAATGGAGACGTTACTGGCGCCCGCTCGAGGAACTCGATGATCAACGGGAGCACAGGTGATACAGGTGATCCATATCAACAAGACAATAGTTCCACCTGATTTATGAACAGGATGAAAAGTGAGACTCTCTAGGGTAAGCTGTAACTGGCCTCCAAACGAACTTGGTATTAATTCACCGTCCCTAAAGGGTAGAAGGCTTGGTTAGCCCGGGTGGGAGCTGGTCCAAGATTTGTATTCCGGACCACGCGCGTGGTTAGCGTGCCACTACTTCTACCGTGATTTTTCATCCTTAAGCTATATCAGGAAACAGCAGAATGAAATATGGGAACGAACCTTTCACCACGAAGTACTGCCCACGGCATTCGAGATCGACGACCTTCACTTCCATCGTTATCATCATCGCTGACAGGCACGCGTGCATTTTCATCAGAACGATGGCGCTGGTGCCCTAGTGACGCCCTGCAAAGAAGAGCTTAACGCGTACACCTTGGAATCAAACCAATACTGAACTAGTACCACACCCTATTGTATGTTGAAATGTAGCATCGGCGCTTACAGCTGCTCCTAGCGAAGGTATACTTATGTCTCGCATTTGCGCTGGAGTCATACTTGCTACACGGTACATTGTTCCATATGATGAAAGGCCATCATACAGAAGTGACATCGCTGCACAAGCCCATCCTTCACAAGCTCCTACAAATGAGTTTCCTTGTTGTGAGAATACAGTAAGGAAGGCACCGAGATACTGCAGCCAAACCAGTTGCATCTGAGGCTGCGTTTACACCTTGCATCAGCGTACGCCAGCGCCAGCGAAAGGGAAAGCATGGGTAGCGATCTAGCGCAAGGCAGCGTACAGCAGCGTTTTCGCGGGCAGTTTTGCTCAAGCTTAAATTGCTCGCGAAAATGCTGGCGTACGCTATTTCGATACCTATACCTTCTGGTCGCTCGAAACGCTGCTGTACGCTGGCGTACGCTAGATCTATACCTACGGGGGGGGGGGGCAAAAAGACACTTTTCTTCCCTTGACTTTCGAGGCGCTATAAGTTACACTTTATTAAATTCTGATCGGACATTTCTACCACCAAAAGAGCATATTAAATACTATCATGATACTCCGCCACAGCCTTCTGGAGGAGCGCCATCGAGATTCTGCCACGCGACCGTGAGTGGGTGCCTGAGTTCAGCGAGATCGTTGATTTCTCCGA